CTCCACTAATAGTAGAGGGCTGGAACCATGTACCGGTCCCCGCCCTTTTCTGTAATGGGCTTTAATGTATTTAACACACCTGCCCAGTTGTTGTTATAGTTGCTTAAGAAAATGTTTACTTCACTTATAACCATATGCTTTTCTATAAAAACTGTAACTGTCCCACATCTAGGAAGTGAGCTTTGCTCTAACAGTAGTATGTTCTGCCTTGCAGCATTTAGCCGTGAGGGCTTGGTTTTTTCTGACTAAAGCACAGAGGATGGAATTTTTATTCTGACGGCACTAGAAAAACTGTATTCTTGCACTGATTTAATAGACTCCTGGTACTTTTTACTTGTCAGTAGGTTTGACCTTATGGAGTCTTAAAACTGTAATTTCAGGGTGACATTTATAAAAACGCCATAAGAGCCTACCCTTTTACTTCTGTGTTTATGCAAGAGAATTTTAAAGCATTATTCTATTGGTAAAGTTTTGGTTTGATATTTATTTAGTTTTGTTTTCTGATTGCAAAAAATAAGGAAGCCTAATGTTAAAAAAAAAAACCCCAAAAAACCTATTTTCCTATTTGGAAAGTCTGGAAAAGAAGTTTTTAAAACTGCCACTTCCAAGGGTCTGCCAAGTGGCTCAGTTGGTTAAGAGGTCGCTTAAGAGCACGAGCTCTGAGCAACAGGGTCGCCGGTTCGATGCCCAGCCCGAACTGAGCGGCCACTGAGCTGCCAATAGGTGGCAGGATGGCTCAGCTAAAAAGCAAAAACTGCCACTTCCAACTTCTATGAGCCCTCGGCATTCTCTGCTTGCTTCTGTTAGTTCCTACAGCTTCCGGCAGGCCAGCGGAAGCTACAGCAATGAAAGCTGATGCTTTTAAGTCCTGCAATGCAGAAGTACAGAATCCGTAATTCGTTTAAAAGAACAACAGTAGCTGATATTTACTATCATGGGTTAGGCCCTCCAACAAGTGTTTTACATGGCTTGTCATATAATATGACTTATATGTGGTAATCTTTAAATGAAAATACATGAATGGATAACTTTTATTAAAAACATAATCTTAACATATTATATAAGGAGAAAAGGAAAGCAGAAAATGAGCATACCAAGTAACTTACACTCCTGGCCATGCCCTGCATTTCTGACTTTAGAGAACACACGTCACCGCTGGGCCATCCAGCCCCATGCATTCAGACCCTGCCTATCAGGGCTCCCACTCTGCTGGATAATTTTGTCACATGTGAGCAACCTTACACAAAGGGCGCCTTAAAACCGGACCCCTTCCCTCTGTGCTAGGTAAGTGTATCAAGCGCCTGAAACTACCTAGATAGCAAGACAGGTCCCAGTTCAGAATCATAGGCTTGGGGAGTTTTTAGAAACTTTATAAGGCACTCTGTCCAACCACATTATTTTAAATATTTTTTGAAAACTGTAAAACAGAGAGGCAAAGTGGTTTGCCACGCCCACTGTGTGTACTGCCTCACAGGGCAGCGGGTGGCCCTACTCGGCGTGCTCCTGTGCTGTGTGGACAGGGTGCCGGAAACGAGCTGAGATTACGGCTTTTAGCCAGAAAGTCACTGAGATAGATTCTTAAGGAACACTCATGACCTGTAGATTTAGTCAATTGAGATGAACAGAAACTGACAAAAAAACTATGAACAGAAGACGAACTACTGTTTCTCGGCAGCATTTAATTCACTTCTTCCTTTCTTTTTGAAGAAGTTATATTTAATTTTAATAACTATGTTTAAACCATACTGATGAGCCTGTCACACTAATATACTGCAAGATATGAACGAAATGAGAATAAAAATGTTCCTTATATAGCTGTACCTTGGACGAAACCTAATGCTTCCCAGACCTTTTTTTTTTTACTTTATTAACGCAAGAGGAGAAGATAGTAAGAAGTATGTATGTGAGTGGGCGTGTCCCTTTTCTTTTTTGATGGGAAAACTAAAGGGTGGGTGGGACTTAGTGATAAAGACAAATTGAAATGTAACATTTCACTCTTCTATAGTGTTCTTAACAAAAGCAGTCTAATTACTGGAATTAGCTAAAGACAGTTTTTCCTGCCTTATGTAAAAGATCTATAACTAGCAGAGCCCCCAAACCGCGTCGTATAAGTGTTCCTTACCTGCCGCGGTAACCACGCACCTGTCACTGGAAAAAGGTCAGGTGGTTCTGTAAGTGAAATAATAATTCCAGGCCGAGAACAAGTTCACCTTTATAATAGTATTTGGGAGTCCTGAATTCCTAACTAAACAGTATTATCAAGCAGAATATTAATTAAGCTCAAGGATTAGTATTGTTCCTTCTTGAATCGTGGTTGCAAAAACCAAGGAAATGCATATTCTATTTGTACTATGTAGACATCTCTTTAAAAGGCATATGCAGAGGGAGCCAAAACAGTGGATACACATTATAAGAAAGGAAAAAACTATATTAAAATTGTAATAGTCAATATATATTGATAACAAAAGATGAATACAAGTCATGTGTCTACATTTTTTTGGCACCCCTGGTATATATGACATGTATGATATCTACATATGTATGATGCACTTAAATCTTATCATTTTGATCCTATTGCTACAATATGAAACTTCAAATTTGACAGAGGAAGTCTTGCAAAAAACAAAAATAGATACAGGATACAAACCAATTTTTGTCTTGCTGTATACAGCATGAAAAAGACTATTATGTAATTTTGAGTAAATATCCTCAACTATGCTAAACAAGACACAGACATTTTCTCTTGCACAGAAAATAAAATAATCCAATGGTTCATTGATTTCCCATCTCCCATAAAAGTAAGATGATGTGTTTTTCAAATGAGTTAGTGTCTAGTGGCCATGTGGTCTTTCAAAAGAGTTCCACTTGCTTTGTGACCTTGAGTTGATGCACTGGCCCAAGCTAAGGAGAGGGGAGGAGGCACGCTATTAGACTTACCATAATCACAGCCTTACTGTGAGGATTAAGAAAGAGCTTATATGAAAGCAAATTCTATGGTCGGAGTTTGGCACTGACCAGAAGATCAGTGAAAGAATGTTTGCTAAAAAGATGCTCGATAGCCTTTTTAGAGAGGTAGCTTCACTATATGTGCCAAAAGCTTCAAGACAAAACCCAGAAACAATTCTATTTCTGTGAATTTAGCCCTGGTAACCACTCTACTTTCTATGAATTTGACTGCTTGAGATACCTCGTATGAGTGGAATCACACAGTAGTTGTCTTTTGTGACTGGCTTAGTTCCCTCCCCACAATGTCCTCAGGGTTCATCCATGCTGTAGCATGCGACAGGGTTTCTTTCCTTTTTAAAGCTGAGTAATGCCCTGTGGTGCGTATAGGCCACATTTTGTTCAGCCAGCCATCCGTCCATGGACATTGATTTGGGTCCCTTCCACCTTTTGGCTCTTGTGAATAGTATGCATTTCATTGTGATTTTGGTTTGAATTTCCCCGATTGCTAATGATTGCTCATCTTTTCATGAGCTTTGTATATCTCTATATCTTCTTTGGAGAATTGCCTATTCTGATCTTTTGCCCATTTTGTAATTGATTGTCTTTTTATTAGGAAGTGGAAGTGTTCTTTATATTACTTGGGCCATTGCCAAATGTAATTTTTTATGTTATGAATTAAAGTCTAACTTCATTTTCCTCCAAGGAGCCAATTATCCAGGACCATTTACTGAATAATCTATCTTTTCCCTGCTTTAACAAGTATTTATTGAGCAAATATGTTGGGTTAGGCCCTGAGGAAATGATAAAATGATGCAGAACTTACATTCTAGTACAAACACAGACTTGTGAGTAAATTACTATTCAGCAAAATAATGGTTTAAATGAAAGTTTATGAAAATCATTTTGGCACAAGTGGCAAAGAAATACCAATATCTGCCTAGAGGTGAGGGAAGAAGAACCAAAAAAATAGTTTGAGAATAAAGGAGTGAGAATCAGTCACTGTGCTGGGGTAAGAAACGTAAAACATTGAAAACTGTTTTGCAAGTGTAAAACATTTATTGCACTGTTTCCTCAAGTTGTACTTAATGTAAACATTAAATTAATTAATTACACTAATGTATCGAGTATGAAGGAACAGGTATCTTCTTTTGTGATGAAAGACGTCGTGCTCATTTCTTTGTATACCTGCCTAACTATATTTCTATTAGAACAATTGTCATTTTATATTCGTACAATATAAGTAATATAAGAACCCATTTTCCCATGGATATATTTGAAATAACAGATATTCATGACTATTATTGAAATAATCCATGCATGCTGAGCAGAATTGTCAGCTTTCTTTAATTTATAACATACAATATTTAATAGCACATAACGTCTGCTTTGTAAGAAGGCAGAAGTGGTAGTAGTATAGTTACATTTCAAAACTCATTGTTTATATAAAGGCTTCAGAAATTCTAACCTTTCCTTTTTGGGTTTTTATAGAATAAATGTATCATTAAATTATATTTGTATATTTGCTGTAGACCCCTCACTGATTTTATAGCTACGTTCTCCATCTCAGTCAGCGTGCAGAAAATCTCTGACCCAGCAGAGATTTGACTAGATAAATGGGAAACGTCTAGTTTGAGATATAAAGTACTAAATGTCCTGTTTGTTCTTCTCAGTATACATTTTAATTGGTTTTCATTTGATATTAGTGTCAGATTCTAAGTCATCCTTGGAATTTAGCTAACCAATTGGAAAATAAAACGAGCAGTAGGTATAGCTTGATATGACCATAATTAATTATATCACATATATTTCACAAAATGGCAGTATCTTCACTGCTTTATAAAAGCTTTTGAAACATTTTTAAAAGCTTTTTGAAACATAAAGTGAACAATAGAAATTTAATCTACTCACATCTGAAAAAATTTAATTCGCTTCTGCTTGTGATCATGATCCAATAAAGCATATTCATAGATTTTAGGTGAAACGATTAAAGTTTATTTTAAGTATAAGCTTACATTGTATCAGTAATAATTGCCTTTTCTTTATTTTCCCCCCAGTTCTTAGTGGTCTCTGTTCTAATGACTGCCCTCGCAAGATAACAGTAAGTACTTCACTCTCAGTTGTAAATATTTCTGAGAAAATTCTCTGCATGATGAATAGATACACACAAAATAGTTATCAGAGATTACAATCAAATTGGTATTACTTTTTAGAAGTGAAAAAAGTATCCTTTAGTGATCAAAAAAAAAGTTTACTGGGAATAAAGTACCTTTCCTAAAAAATTTCTCACCTCGAGGTTCCGAACCTCTGTAGGAGGCCTTTTCTGATATCCTTGGGGGACAACCGCCCTCCCACTACTGCGGTGCACACTGCTCCCTTTTTGGCTTATGTAATACTTGGTCACACTTACTGGTGTAATTTCAATTACACACCACACTAAAATGGAACACGTTGAGGTCAAGAACCATGTCATCTTTGTAACTTCATACATAGCAGAGGGTCAATGTTATGGTAGACAGTTAATGAATTTTTTTTGGTATAGTATTAATATCGACTTGCTGTCTAATGGAATGTTTCAGTAAAATAACAAAATGTGAAAATAGGCTTAGTTTTTGAAATTGCCAATTCATGCATCTTGTAAGAACAAACATTGTATTTGAGAGAGAGAGAGAGAGAGAGAGAGAGAGAGAGAGTTGCTATATCCCTGCTTCAGTCCTCAGAGTAACCCTTGTTTTATAAGGAATTAACCTCCATTTAAAGAAAAGGAAATGGAGGCTCAGAGAAATGAAATTATCCAAAGTCCTAGCTACTAAGGGGTGGAACAGAACACAAAGCTAGAGGTTCTGATTATAGTCTCATATTTTTACTACCCCATTAAAGCACCACATTACCAACATCTTAAGTGTGGTTGGGAAACTTTCCATGTCTGAGACATGTGGAGACAGACCCTGACCCAGAGATCTGCGCGCAAAGCTTCAGTCTAGACTCAGCTTGAGAGTCACGCCTCTGACGTAGTGAGGCGAGCAGGATCCGCAGGAGGAGAAATGCGTCCGTGATGCGTGCGGAGCTGTGAAGCTAGGACTGTCCTTTGGCGATGCCTAAGATTGAGGAGAGGGGCCAGGCCTTTATGCACTGGTGTCAAGCAGACATTGTGTGCAGGCCGTCCCCAGGAAGGGGTTATGCTTTGTAGAGCCAGCTCCCTTTGAGAGCAATTTATATGTAAGAGCCTGGCTGTGAGCCAGCAGCAGCTTAGGGACTGAGCGTCTCAGTCCTGAAGGGAAGGTCTGGACAGGGCATCACCGTACCCCCTGTGAAGGTGCGTGAGTGCCTGCTCAAACCCAGCTGCCTGCCTGCCATTAGGAAAGTGCAGGTGTCTGGGGGCAGCTGGGAGGCGGGGCACAGAGGCCATATTGGAACTTGTGTGATTAATCAGAGGCTGAAGGTGAACCTGGGTGTCTGGGTTTTGTCTACCCAGTTTGTGAAACATTCAGACCCTTTGTTTCTCTTCCCATCCCTTACTGACCATATCCCCACCATGTGGCTCCTACATTACATGGTCAAGTGAAGACGTCTAAAATGTTGAACTTGAACCCGCTCGTTTTACCCACAAGCCTAGCAGAAAATTTGATAGGAAAGACTTTATAATTAAGGCAGATTATTCTTGTAAGGTCAGCAGTATTCCCGTTCTACTTCTTAAAATAAAAGTCATGTCTGTGGTGTGGAGAACAGAGTCACTTAGAAAGTCACCTAAGTGAGGCCCAGCCTGCAGCTCTGCCCTCATAGTGCCCTGTGGTCCAGCGCCCTTGGGCGCTTCTGCGGAAGATGTCTGCCTCCCATTCGTCCTGTTTTTCCTTCCTTTGGAGTTCAGCTCCTGTTGAACTGCCATTCAGTCTATCACTTTTCTCCCCTTGATAGATCACAATTTTATGACAGCCTAAAAGAAACAAATGCACACCATACTGCCCCAGTTTTCCATGTATCAAATGGATGCCCACTTGTGAAATTATTTATTTCATTAAACAGCGGGCGTTCTTCATATCGCTTTGACATCAGATCCACTTGATCGTAATAGAAAATGTTATGTTAGATATGACCCAGTGTGACACTGAGAGGGCACATGTACATGCCATGTGACGTTCTTTACCACCTGAGTTCATTGATGAGTTGAATAGCTCTTCTGCCCCCTACATGTTCCCACCCGAGACAGGTAACCTGTCTGATATATAGAGAGGGGAGGAATTACTCAAGTCAGAAACTAATCCCGCCCACATTCGTTCATCTCCATTTTGAAAACCCCTGAGTCTTTCATTTTGTTCAACTTCAGTTGCTCACTCCCATGGCCAGACTGTGGACTTCATGTACTGGAGCTGTTTTACCATGAAATCTCAACACCGTTCATCTACCTTTCTGACTCCTGCCTGGTTTTCCAGCCCTCTCATTCTTGTTACTCTCGCTATGCCTGTTCCAACTTTACGCCCATTCGTCTCTTGACCTGTATCAGCCCACTCTTGTCTTTACCTCCGTCCTTATTAAGCTGCCACACATCAAGCATCACTCCTGCCCCTACCCTTCACTCCCACAAAAGACTCCTTCACTGTACCTGCCTGGCAAAGTGACAGCCCTGGGGAAGCCAACCATCTCTCTTACTCTTAAACCTAGGCTACTGGGTATTTCTGAAGAAAAATATGCAGTCCGCACATTGGCGCCACCACTAATCCGTAGTCCGTAACATCAAATGAGCTTCATAGTCATATCATGTAGCCTTACATGGTGCCCTAGATATCTTTCCTCCCATGCTTATTCTCTGGTTACCTTCAGGGTTTTCTCTTTGGTTTTCTGCTGGTTGACTAGGATAAGCCGAGGTATAGGTTTTAGGTGCAATCTCGCTTGGTGTTCTCTAAGCTTCCTGGATCTGTAGTTTGGTGTCTGTAACTAAGTTAGGAAAAACCTCATATTATGGCTTCAAATATTTCTTCTGTTCCTTTCTTTCCTTTTCCTTCTGGTAGTCCATGACACATGTTACACCCTTGGTAATTGTCCCACAGTTCTTGGATATTCTGTTTCATCTTTTCATTCGTTTCTCTCTGAATTTCCTCGTTGGAAGTTTCTATTGCAATACCTTCAAGCTCACTGCTGCTTTCCTCCACTGTGTCCAGTCTGCCAATGAGCCCATCAAAGGCATTCTTCATTTCCGTAACAGTTTTTTTTTTAATTTCTACCATTTCTTTTGATTTTTTTCTTAGAGTTTCCATTTCTCTGCTTACATTAACAGTCTGTTCTTGCATGTTGTCGCCTTTTTTCACTAGAGCCCTTAACATTTTAATCATAGTTATTTTCAATCTCTGGTCTGATAATTCCTACATCCTGCCATATCTGAGTCTGGTCCTGATGTTTGCTTTGCTTATTCAGACTTTGTTTTCTGCCTGTTTTAGCATGCCTTGAAATATAGCACACAATTCAGAAAGCTTCTAAATGATCCCAGCTCGAATCTTCTCTAATGGCCTTTCAATTTCTGTGAAATTTCAATTTTGTGAACGCTCATTTCACTTCTTTGTGTTTGCATTGGTTGAGAAAGAAGCATACTATTTAAAAAAAAAATTCTGCACCTCTAAAAGCATCTGAAAAAAATGAGAGGCGTTTTTTATTGTTTTTTGTGCACTCACTGAATTAATGGTTTTGTTCTCTTGTATTGAACCAAATCCAATAATTATACAAAGGTTTAGGTTACACTGAATACTCTCACAAGCTGCCATTTTTTATAAAATGTACACAGTGTAGTCCAAGACCAGTGGGTCATACAGAGGGGTCCACAGACCACCAGCACCAGCATCTTCTGGGGACTTGGAAGAAAGGCGCATTCCCAGGCCCCACCCAGACCCACCACATGAAAACATCTGGGGATGCAGCCAATGCATCTGTATTGTTAACAGTCCCTCCAGGTGATCCTGATGCTCAAGGTTGTGAACCACAGCACTGGGCCTTTAGAAAAGGGATTTGCTGTAAGCTAACAACTTTGTCATTCCAAACATACATTCTTGCAAATAAATCATTCGTGTAGCTTTAGAATCCTACAATACATGAAAGAAAACTAAAAGGGAAACTTGGTGAGTGTTTCTGGTTTTGATCAAAATAATTTTGCCCATTCAGTTGTAGTTCAACATAGTTAAAAATGAGATTTCATTATAAAAATGACAATGTACTTAGCCAAAATGAAAAAGTAATCTTGCATTTACTGTGTACCAGGCACAGTTCTAAATATTCTACACATATTTGCTCAATCTTGACAACAATCCTCTGAGATACATACTATGATTCCCCCTAATTTAAGATGAGGAAACGGAGAGAGAAATTAAATAACTTGCCCAAAGTCAAGTGGAAAAGGAGAAATTTGAACCCAGATTGTCTACTCTAAAAATTACATTCTTATTTTCTGAATTGGGAAAGCTAGTACTTAAAATATTCTCCTGACATAAAATGTATGGAATAACTCATAAGTCTTAAATTATTGCATTAGTCAGCTTGGGCTACCATTTCAAAATACAACAGAATGATACTTTCTCCCAGTCCTGGGAGCTGGAAGTCTGCGATCATTGTGCCAGTATGGTCAAGTTCTGATGAGGGCTGTCACCCTGGTTTGCCCAGGGCCACGTGCTCACTGGGTGCTCACATGGCCTTTCCCAGATTCACGTGCATCGAGGGAGAGAAGGCAAGCTCTCTGGTGTCGCTCCTTATCAGGGCACCAGAGCCCTCATGTCGGCCCCGCCCTCATGACCTCTCTAACATTAATTACCTTCCAAATATCATCATTTTGGGGGTTGCAGCTTCAACATAGGAATTTTGAGGAGCCACAAATGTTGAGTCTATAACAAAAAAGGAAATGATTTCAGAGAAGTGTGAGAAAGACCTTATAGGAAACTCACAAACATGTTGTCATCACCACTGATTGATATTCCCCTAATTTCAGCTCCTGGCATATTACCAGCTTTTCAGGTCTCACATAAAGGAATTTAAGATGTGTGCATAAATACTTCAGTGAACTAGAGGAATTAACTGCTTCAGAAATTCTTAATCCTTGTAAATTGAATTTTTTTAGGATGCATCCACAACTTTCTTACAAAACCATTCTTTTGGCATTAGTCGGTCGCAGTGATAGCAAGACACTTAATGTGTGGCATGGCAGCTCTAATGTAATTACAGCCAATGTTGATAAGACCACAAAAGTTCCTTTATGGGACTTTCTGTTTCTTCTCCCTCCCCCTGGATTACTTTGCTTTAAAAGAATCAACTGACTCCAGGTAGTCGCCATAGCAGCGGCACCCAAGGAGCATCACACTTAGCTCTTGTTGAAAAGCAGTACCTGTGCCATGTGTTTACACCATAGGCAAAGGGAGTGATCACTGTGGTTTTAAACTCCTGCACTAGAATTCCTGAAAAATAAAAGCACTCCAGCAGGTGCTTCTAAATGCTGTTATTGCTGTACACTTGTTGGTGGGTCACTTTCTATGCTGTGTTTGCTTAGAAGGGATCTTCCAATATATCTCCAGTATTCCTTTCTTATAATGTCCTTTTCCCTAGCTAGTATTTCATGTAACTCTAATGCTTTATTAAGAGTATCCTCCTTGTTATCATATCGGTTTTCTAGCATATCTTCACGGATATCTACAAGAAAGGCAGTTAGGTAGGGGGAACTGTGACTTGTAATTGATTTAACAGACTGGGCTTTTTGGAAAGACCACCAGCCTGCAAATCCCTTTCAAATGGTTCCATGCACTTTCACATATGGTGCGACTCTGGTCGTTCCCAGAGTGTACAGGACTTCTCCCTCCAGTGTGGCGTGATCACTGCAGCCAGTGATGTTAGAGATGATGCAGTATCTTTGGTTCCAGACAGAGTTATTTCTCACGTCCTCACGTAGAAGTTCGTCTACGTACAGCTCATTATCCCCAAGTTTAAATTCCTGTCTAACCCACGGTCAGTGTTGCCAGGCGTGATAATCCCTTGCATCCTGATTAAGAATACCAGCAGTAAGCTTAAGCTCCAGAGATGGATCTTTTAGCCATTCCACTAATACTCGCCTATGGTGCCAAATTTGATAGTTGCGGGGCTGTTCTTCAGGTATTGACTGATGCACTTCTTTTCCTCATGTAGATCCTTTTGAAGTGACTTTAAGGGAACTCTTAAAATAAGTCTATTTTGATACTCGTGTGGCCACTCCAGCCCTCATTCGGTTACTGTTTACATGGTATATCTTTACCATGCTTTTACTTACAACCTGTTTGTCTTTGAATTTAAAATGTGTCTTTTATAGACAGCATATACTTGGGTCATATTGTTCTATCCTGCTAATCTCTGCCTTTTGATAGGAATGTTTAATCCATTTACATTTAATGTAATTGCTGATAAGGTAGAATTTCGGTCTGCTGTTTTGCTAATATTTTTTTTATTATTTCTTAAAGATTTTACCTAGGAATTGGGGTAGGGAACAGCATTGGGGAATCGGGGACGGGGAACAGACAAGTTGCTGTCCTTTTTGTTCTTCAGTCTAGTTGTGGAGGATGTCTCTTCACTGGTCCATGTTGGTATTATCATTGCGTTCTTCCCGGCTGAGGCAAATGGGTCACAGGGCATTGGACGGCCACTCACGGCAGCTCTCAGCAGCTCACACTGGCTGCCGGCCACTCACAGTAGCTCACGGCAGCCCACTGCAGCAGGGGCTGCAGCCTACGCCGTCGCCGGTGACTCACGGCAGCCCAGCTCCAGGTTGAGCTGTTGTTCACCATCTTAGCTGTAGAGGGCGCAGCGCCACTGAACCTCATGTGGGATCCAAACCGGGGCTCTGCTGCTCAGAGCTGGCGTCCCAAGCCAACTCTTAACAAACGAGCCACTCGGCCGGCCCTGCTAATTTTTTCTATGTGTCTTTTTTCTTTCTCTGTTTCACCATTACTGCTTTCTTTTGTTACATATTTTCTAGGATATGATTTTAATTCCCTTGTTTCTTGTACTATATTTTTAAGTTATTTTCTTAGTTCTTTCTGTCAGAATTACAGTTTCCGTCTTAACTTAGAAACAATCTAGTTCATATTTATAGCAACTTAGTTTCAGCAGCATAAACACATTTTGCCCCTGTATACCTCAGCTTGTAGTGTCATACAGATTACATCTACATGCATTATGAGCCCACCAACATGGTTTCTAATAACTGCTTTATGCAGTAGTGTTTTAAATTAGACAGGAGAAAAGAGCTACAAACAAAAATACATTTACACTTTCCACTTACCTACAGCTACTTTTACTGGTGCTTTTTTTTTTTTTTGGATTCTGAATTTTTTAATTAAAATTTATTGGGGTGACAACAGTTAGTAAGGTTACATAGGTTTCAAGTGTACTGCTGCTGCTTTTTATTTGAGTTACTGTCCAGTGTACTTTCAGTTCAGCCAGAGCAACTCCCTTTAGTGTTTCTTCTTAGTCAGATGTGTTCATAACAAATTCTCTCAGTTTTTATCTTGTAATATGTCAATTTCCCTGTTACAAAGGATCATTTTCCTGGATTTTGGACTTCTTAATTGACACCCTTTTTCTTTCAACTTGGAATATAGCATCCTACTGCCTTCTGGCCTTCCGGGTTTCTGATGAGAAATCAGTTGATAATCTTATTGGGGATCCCTTGTAAGTGATGTGTTACTTGCCTGTTGCTGCATTTAAAATTCTCTTTGGCTTTCAACATTTTGACTATGATGTGTTTGGTAGGATTTGACTATTATGTATGTTGGTGTGGATCTTTTCAAGTTTATCCTACTTGCAATTTGTTGAGCTTTTGGGTGTGCAGATTAATATATTTAATTAAATTTCAGTATTTCCACCATTTTTGCTTTACGCTTTCTTTCTTTCCCTTTCTCTCCTCTCCTCTGGGACTCCCATTATTGTTGGGATTCTTAATGGTGCCCCATGTGTCTCTCAGGCGCTGTCATTTTCTTTATTTTCTTCATTTTTCTGTTTCTCAGACTGGATTGTCTGAATTGACAAATCTTCAGTTTTGTTGATTTTTTTCCTCTACCAATTTACATCTACGGTTGAGCCACTCCAGTGAATTTTTAACTTGTTATTGTTCTCTGGAAGTTGGGCGTTTGTATGTGTGATTTCTATCTCTCTTTTGATACTCTTTTGGTGAGACACTGTCCTCGTAATTTCCTTCAGTTCTTCAGACATCATGTCCTTTAGTCCTTTCAACATATTTATAACAGCTGATTGCAAGTTTCTTCCTACTACGTCAAACATCTCGAGTTCCTTGGGGGCAATTTCTGTTGACTACTTTTTTTCCTATGTATTCCCATACTTTCCTGTTTGTGAGTGTCATAATTTGTTGTTGAAAACTGGGCATTTTAAATACTGTCTTAACCCTGGAAATCGCTCTGCTAGGTTTGTTGCTGCTGTTTGTTGTTGCTGCTGCTGTTTGGTCAGTGACTTTGCTGGACTGATTCTGTAAAGTCTATTGTGTGTAGCCATTGAAGTCTCTACTCGGTTTAATGGTCAGTGATGATTGAAGAGAGGTTTCCTTAAATGAGAGATTAGGTGAGAGATTAGGGCCTTCTCAGGTCCCTTGTCTGAAAGCAGTGTTACCTGGGTGACCTTCTACAATAGATTCCCAGGATCGTGTCAGAGCTTTTCAAAGCCTCCCTTGCAACATCTCATTCGCATTTTTTCTTTTAAGATTTGGTCAGCCTCTCATTGACCCAAACTGGTAGCACAGCCTTAGGTAGCTTCAATATAAACAATTGCTAATGATTGTTTTTAACAAACATTCCAGTTTGTTAGGGCTATTCACACAGAGCAAGCTCTCAGCCTGGCGAAATACATACTGAGAATGGAGGTTTTCAGGGAGCTGCCAGACATGTCAAAGAGGGACAGTTCTCTGGGAGAGCTGCTTAAAGTAGTCACCCTGCATAATAGGAAATATTAGGTCTTAGAAATATCCAATAAAATTAATGCTGTATAAATGCAACTGTCAAATCATTTAAAGTGTTAAGCATTTTCTACTAACAGAGGTTTTCTTTTGAAAAGATAACACAGGTTATCTTTTCATAGAAATATTCTCTACATAACTGCCATCTATGTAAGAATTGTATGTAAGAAGGTTTTACTTGATTAGTAATAGATTTACCTGAAACTTCAAATGATTTATTTACTTTCCAAGGCTTAACTATTCCTCTTTTTATTGCAGCCCTTTGGAGTCAATCAGCCTGGACCTTATATCATGTATACAACTGTAGATGCAAATGGATATCTGAAAAATGGCTCAGGTAAGACTAGATACAATGTTCATAATGCATAACACACTTTTAATCAATAGATTGGCAAGATAAACTAGATGACAAAAATTATCATGTTTCACACCCTTTATAAAATCTTCACTTTTTATACTTAGTCTTTCTGTAGACTTACATCAGTAGATTACGAAAAGTCCTCATGACAAATATATTAAAATTAATTCCTCATATATCCCTATTGTGATACAGCCAAATCATTATCCTTATCTTTCAATTGAAGTAACAGAGAGATTGGGAAAAACTGCTCGAGTTATCTTTTTTTTTTTTTTTTAAGATTTTTATTGGGGAATTGGGGGGATGGGAACAGTGCTGGGGAATTGGGGAAAGGGGAACAGACAAGTTGCTGTCGTTTTGTTCTTCAATCTAGTTGTGGAGGATGTTGCTTCACTGGCCCAAGTTGGCACCATCATTGCGCTCTTCTCTGGCGAGGCAGATCAGTCGCCGGCTTCTGGACGGCCGCTCACTGCGGCTGCTGGCCGCTCACGCTGGCTGCTGGCCACACACGGTAGCCCATGGCAATCCACTGCCACAGGGACTGCAGCCCACGCCATCGCCGGCGACTCATGGCAGCCCAGCTCCAGGTCGAGCTGTTGTTCAGCATCTTAGCTGTGGAGGGCAGTGTCACTGGCCCTCATATGTGGGATCCGAACCGGGGCCCTCTGGCATCCCAAGCGAGTTCTTAACCATCGCGCCACTCGACCGGCCCTGCTCGAGTTATCTTAATCAAAGTATAAAGTGGTAAATTAGTTATAACAAAGCTCATCTTAGGAGAGGTAAAAATTAGGAATTCAGTCTACAACCTAAATAATCCTGGTATTTTCATATGTGGACTAGAGGCTGGAATATTACATAGAGGTTGTTTTGATATATGATTATAAAGGAAAAAAGTCTTATTTGACTAAATAATAAAGGAAAATGCAGTCAAGACAAACAGGAAATCAGACTAAGCAAAGGATGTCTGCTTTTGACAGATGGCCAGCTGACTGAGATGAGATCCAAATCACAGTAAATACAACTGGTCATTTCAATTCTCTAGATGAGAAAGGGAACCCTAACATATTAGCACACTTCTTTGAGACTCCTAGAGTCCTAACCACCAACAGAGTTGCTGTTACTCCTCCATTTTTATGGACCCCAAAATAAGGAAGAACTCGTTACATGGCCATTCTCACTTTATATAATGACCTAACTTAATCAGATATGCCTGAGTGAGTTTCCTTTTTAGCTAATTGTACACATTTAAAACTCTCAATCATACTATTGCTTCAAAACATTCCATAAAACAAAAACTGTTTTAAAAGTTTAAGGAGACAGTACAAGCACAATTCTAGTCAAATACTTGAATATACCACTGTTAGTCTTGGCAACTTAAATAAGGATACAGACAATTTGAACTAATTACTTCTTTACATTTTAATTCACATGTATGTTGAACTGTACAAAAAAGATTCCAGGACTAGATGGCATTATCTTTTACCAGATAATTCTTTTAGTCTTTCAGGATGCAGATAATTTCAGTGCTAGATGAAATGTTCCCATTACTTATTTCATTCCATGAGACTAGTATAACTTAGGCAAAACCAGGAAACCCAAATCCAGAACTTAGCTCAATGAAGAATTATCAATGAAAACTGCTACCTAAAATACTAACAATTTAAATTCATCTGTATTTTGAAAGAATTGCTTACTTAATACAATCAAGAAGGTGATTATCGGAATGCACTGATGGTTTAAAATGGGGGAAATCTCTCTATTATTTTAACAACAGATCAATTTTTAAAAGACCTGTTTTCTTCATATAATGATATATTGTGTAAATCTTTCCATGTCTGTTCATTTGGCTAGTCCTAATTTCTTTTGGGATTGTTTTATATATTGACACAGTAACTACTCTAGATAATTCTCTATTGTTTATTTTTTTTCAATATAATGCAGCAGTACAAGAGTAAAGATCTATGTGCATATATTTTTGTGTAGTTAAATGAATAATTCTCACTTCATAGAAAAAAAATCAGGAAGAATATTTATCAGATTGTTAATGTTTAGCCTGGGGGAGCAAGATTTCAAGAGATCCACTTCCTACTTAGTACATTTCTATTTCTATTTACTATTTGTAGTCCTTTTAAACTTAATTTTTTTTAAAAAAAAGATAGGTTTTGATTTGCTATAAAATTTATCAAAAATGTTACTTTTACACTTAAGTGTAGAAAAAATTTTCAATTCTGTGATTGTTGACTCATTCAAAAAAAATACATCTATTGAACCTCTGCTACCAACCAGGCATTGGCACCTAGGAGGATGTCTTACTAGATGCCAAAAACCCATTCAGCAATATTCACTACCCACTGAATGAAGAATATTTCCTCAGCATGATTTCTTTATAATCTACCCCAAAACAATAATGAAACATTGGGTTTATTCTTCCTAAATTAAATATTTACTCTCCCATGGATTGGAAAGTAATTAATAATGAATAAAAGCAAAGGAAAAAAATCTACAAAAAAGATAACTGCAGTTGAATGCATAAATCAAATGAATGCATACATTTTCATGGCAGAAAAATCATAAACAAAACTAAAAGGCAGTAGCAAACTGGGAAAACCTAAATGCCCAACAATAGAGAAACAATTAATAAATTATGCCATTTTATACTAATTTTCAGCCTAGGCAATATTTTGAAATTATTTTTGATGAAGTGAACAGATGCTGATGGTACAACATTTGGGAGGGAGGCACATCAGCTGGTATGATCCGTATTGTATGCATGTGTTTTTACGTGTACCCACATGTAGGAACAATGCAAACACACGTGACAGATAGAAATGTTACCGTGATTATCTCTTGGCTGTGGGATTGTCTTTTTTATATATTTTTTTGCATTTTAGTTGACTACACTGATCGTATATTGCTTTTAGTTTAGGAAATAAATTAGCAATAAATTAATGTTCTTAAAATGTTTCAAACATGCTTTATTTCATGCACAAATATATGTTGTGAACAGGAAAATGGCACTTCATTTGAATGATTTAGGAAGCACTAGCATGAGAACCTGCCCCAAATTTTAAAGGATGAACCTTCCTAGTTTCAATGTTAAACATGTCGACGTCTAAAGAAACGTTACCTGGTGAAGCCGTGCCTCCCGCCCACGCAGCCCCACCAGTGGAGAGCCTTCCACTCTCTCAGGAAGCAAGTCACGCTTACGGGTGCTTCAGACGCTGCAACCCTGCCTCCCTCACAGAGCAGCCACGGGGCAGCACTCACTCGTGGGTCATGAATTAATGCAGTGGCTTATGATGGGGGCTTTTTACTTAACAGAATAAAAGGGATAGAAAATATCAGGACATACCACAGATAGGAACATTAAGTATTGTTTCATGGAAGTTTTATTGTAGGGGTTTGTGTGTGTGTGTGTATGTGTTCTTCCTGGGAGATGACATAAAATGTAGTTTTTATTGTGGGCTGTGGTCAAAAACGTTTAAAGTCACTACCAGAGAAAATAACATGCCTTAGTGCCATTCACAGAAGGCCTGGCCTAATTATCCTTCTGCTTACTGGCAAATCTTCTCAGTATTAGCAAACACTCTTGGGGTCTTACTCCATGTCCTAGCAAAGCCTGAAATATAGTAGCCGACTGTTATGGGGAGTCACATTACAGAGGTGTCATTCATTTTCTAAATAACCAATAGTTCCTGTGACCGATCAAAAAAATCATTATTTCCCTTTAGTCTTCTAAGGTTACTATTTGTTAACATATCTGAGAAAACCGTAAGGAACCCTTAACTCCTGTGCACCCTTCCTCACGTGGCTCCGATAGCAGAACAGTTAAAATGGACGGCAGGCCGAGAAGCCTGCATGTCCCCGGGGAAGAAGGACTTGGATTAAAGCATAACAAAAGTCATGTTGTTAATAAACGTTACATTACTGAGCAAAATGATTTACTGTAACACATAACATTTTTATAATTTTAATTATAACTTTTTCAGAGTTCCCAGTTTTCATCAATAATTGTCAATTACATCTTACACTGTCAAAAAACATTTTATTCTTTTTTTTTTTAAGATTTTTATTGGGGAATTGGGGGGATGGGAACAGCGCTGGGGAATTAGGGGAAGGGGAACAGACAAGTTGCTGTTGTTTTGTTCTTCAGTCTAGTTGTGGAGGACGTCGCTTCGCTAGCCCAAGTTGGCACCATCATTGCACTCTTCCCGGGCGAGGCAGATCAGTCGCCGGCTTCTGGATGGCCGCTCACAGCGGCTGCTGGCCACTCACGCTGGTTGCTGGCTATACACGGTAGCCCATGGCAACCCACTGCAGCAGGGGCTGCAGCCTACGCCGTCACCGGCGACTCACGGCAGCCCAGCTCCAGGTTGAGTTGTTCAGCATCTTAGCTGTGGAGGGCAGTGTCACTGGCCCTCATATGTGGGATCCGAACCGGGGCCCTCTGGCGTCCCAAGCCAGTTCTTAACCATCATGCCACTCGGCCGGACCAAAACATTTTATTCTTTATGTTCATTTCTCACATACATATTTTCTGAAATTACCTTCAAAGTATAGCCATGTTCCATTTAGCAACTTGTAATTATCCATAAAATATTTTTTTTAGTCCTGAACCGTTTTATTTTTAACTACTCATCACACTTTAAATTGTCATACACATAGTTCACCCATACATTTTAGCTTGAGCAATGATTAATCAGGCATATATTTGTGTCAAAAATCATTAATTGATAACAAAAGAAAATGGAAAGAGCTGTTATGCCCTCCCAGAAAATCCATGACATTTTTTGTCTCTGAAAGAATGAATTTTTGCAAGAGGCATCATTTCCTTACCTTAATCTCACATCAACTAAAGATCTGACAGGAACAGCCTAGTCGGCAGATACAAGGATGGGGTGGGGGTTTTTCTCACTAAAATGAAAGGGAGAAAGGAAAGAAGAGACGATCTGGAGTCGCTCTAAGCAGTAACTGATGTA